ACGTTGCTAGAGTGGCCGAGTACTTCTTCCGCGGTCTGCGTAACTCTGAGCCGGAACCTAGAGTCAGACCCCTCCACTTAGTGGTGTCGCGCCTTTCAGCTCGCGGTGGTAGCACGTGTTCTATTGCTCCACAGAACTGTGGTCAGCCACTAGCTGCTGGGAAGGTCAGCAAGCTTTGATCAGTAATAATAAATGATAATGACAGTTTACATTTATAGAATGCTTGCTCTGGACTGGGCACTGTTTGAAGCACCGTTACGTATCTTACCTCAGTCTTCCTAAGAGCCCTCTAAGTTCAGTACACTTGTTTTACTGAGGAAACTAGGGCTTAGAGAGGTGAAAGTAACACAGCAAGAGAAGAGCCAAGATACAAACTCAGGCTGTCTGAAGCGAGAGTGCCCAGGGTTAGCTCCTTAACTCAGCTTTTCCGCCATGTCACCGCCTTCATGAAGCTTTTTTGGATTTCACCCCGCAGAAGACATCACTCCCTCCTCTAAACCTCTTATTTCATGGTTTTGGGCCATTTCCTGCTTTCTTAATTCGTTTATGGCCTCTCTCGGTGTGAGAGATAACAAAGGTAAATAAGACTATAAAATGCAGTTTAGTCACTCCTTTACGTGGCATTCGCCCCCACCCCCAGTAGGCATCTTCCTGAAAGTAGTAACCTGGTCTACCTCCTACGTCTGGCACAGTGCTAGGCATTAGGGTTACAGTAGTGAACAAAATAGACAAGGTCCTTGCTTTCTTGGAGTGTATATTTTAATAAGGAGAATAGATGATAAGTTAAGGAAATAAAACAGGATAATTTCAGATACGCTACGAATCTGAGCTGAGGTCTGACAAATAAGCCAGTGCACGAAGATCACAATCGAAGTGACTTTTACTCGGTGGCAGGCTCTGTTCTTAGATGCTGTTCTATGCAGCTGTGAACAGAACAGTGCAAATTCATGCTCTCATGAAACTGACATTGCAAGGTGTGTGAGTGTGGCGGGCAGGGATAGAAATAATAAAATAAAACAGGGTGGTGTAAGACTAGGAACTCAATAGGGGCTACTTTTGATTGGTTGGTCAGGGAAGTCTTCTATAAGGTGATGAATTTAAGCTGTTATCTAAGTTAAAATAGTCACCCATGTTAGGATCTGAGGGAAGATCGTTTCAGGAAAGAGAACAACTAGAACGTTTTGCTGGAACATGGTAAGGAGTATACTAGATGAGGGTAAAGATCATATAAGGTTTTGGGGGTCCCCCCAGCTTTACTGAGAAATGTTTTTATAAGCTAGTATAAAGAGTTGGGCTCTTATTCTAAGTGCAGTGAAAAGCCATTTGAGGCTTTAAATCAGAAGAATGACATGATCTGATATGTTTTAAAAAGCATGGCTAGGGGAGGGTACGGGGTGAAAAAGAGATACTAAGATATTAACGAGTAGAGGCAAGAAGACCAGTTAGGAGGGCCTTGCCAGGTGGGAGATGATGTGACTTGGCCAGAGAGGTAGTGGAGACGTCGAATAGTGGACAGATTCACGATATGGTTTAAAGGTAAAGATCTGGATAGGGGATTCAGGAGAGAAATCAAGGGAGACACCTAGGGTTTTGTGATGAACAATTAGGTAGTGCGTTTACTGAAATGAGCAGACGTAGTTGGGAGTAGGGTGGGAATCAGAGTTCTCTTCTTAACTATAATAATAGTTATTATTCTTTGCGTGCTTACTATGTGCCAGACGCTGTGCAATACGGTTTACAGATTTTCTTCTATTAAAAGTTTACAACACCACCAGTAAATGCTTTGCCTCAAGTTTGTAGATAAAGACAGGCTCAGGCGAGGGGCAAGGAGAGGGGAGGAGACATGTTCTCACCGCTAGGAAGTGGTAGAAGCTGAATCCCAACCTAAGTCTGCTTCCACGGCCTGTCCTCATCAGGCTGCTTCTTTGTGAAACCGAGACAATTTTCTCCTGGGTTTGTTAGAAGAAAACAAAATAATATCTAAGTTATGAGTTCGCGGTTCCGTCGGCTTGGAGTCATTGTCTCCGCCCCTTTCGTCAGCGTCCCTCCCCAAGAGCGTCCAGCGCTTTGCTCTATATGAATGAAATTCCGAGACACGTAATCCAGATAAAATCTCCCTCCCGCAATTGGTCAGTGCTGGAGAAGGAGCCTCGTGATTGGTGGAGAGTCCGAGGAGGCGGGCGGAGGGAAATCGTGTAGTGTACCGCTGGTGCCGGCTCTTGGAACCTTTTCCCATCACCAATCTTTACGTAATTTTCTACGACTGGCAGATGCCGGGGTTGAGCGGGTTCCTGCGGCGGCGCGATTCTTTGACGTTTCCCCTTCTGATTGGCCGAGAGCTGCGGCTGCAGTTCCAAAGCCTAACTGGCCGCCCGCGCCGCCTCGGAGGTGAAGTGTACTGCGCTGGTTGGCTGTGAGGCACCGACCGCGTGTGATGCCCCGAGCAGCGATTGGCTCTAGCCGGCTGGGGGCTTCTCTCGCCGGGAGTCGGGACTCCCGGGAAGTGGACTCGTAGAGGAGGGCGCAGGCTAGCTGTCGCTCCCGACCAAGTCGGAGACCCCGGAGTGAGGCGGCCTCTCAGGGCCGGGTGGGCTAGCGAGCCGACGCGGCGGCGGCGGAGGCTGTGAGGAGTGCGGGGGACGGGGGCCGGCACGGAGAGACCATGGCCCCGCAGAACCTGGGCACCTTCTGCCTGTTGCTGCTGTACCTCATCGGGGCCGTGATCGCCGGGTGAGGAACAGGCAGCCGCGGGCACGGGGCGCTTAAGTCAGTCCTGGCTGGGGAGGAGGTTGGGGGGAAGAAGGAGCATTGTCAGACTCCGGGAGTGGAGAGGGGCGTTACTGTGGTGATGCAGTGGAGCTGAGGAATGGGTAGTATGGGCCAGGCTAGTGGAGTGGAGAGAACAGTGGGTGACACGAGTGAGAGGAGATTAGATCCAGATGCCCTAGAGAGCTAGATTTGCCCGGAGAAGTTAAATGTTGGATGCAGTGCCAAACAACGTGGGGTCGGGGGGCAGCTGAGCTGGAGAAGACGATACAATGTTGAGCCTGCCAGGAGCCATTGGGGGGCTGACATTAAAGTGGGTAAGTTATGATTCCAGGCTAAGTGAGGAAGTGAGGGGCAGGTAGGGAAGCCATGGTGGGACTGAAGGAAATTGGACTGAGGGAGCAAGGCAGACCCTTTGGAAAGCCCTTGTACTTCTCAGGTTCTTGAGATACCGAGCCTAAGCTGCCATTATGTCTCACTGCCTCTCTCCATGAAGCATTCTTGAGAAGCTGAAGGGTATCACGAGCTGGGGAAACAGGTAGTAGACTGGGATTCTAGCCCACTCACCCCCACCCGGCTTATGAATTATGTGACCTTGAAGGAACACCTAAATTCTCATCTGTGACATGAGGGTGATAATGTGCCACTTATTTGAAGGAAGTATGGCCATCTGAACTCTTGAGACTTTGTCCAGCCTTTAAGATCCACTATGCTATAAGCCTGGTGACCGCAGGATATGGTACACCAGGCTCATTTTAAAATGTGAGAAGTAATGTCTTAGCTTCTAACAATTTATAGGTTGTTCTGAATGGAGAAAGCTCTACCTAGCAGAGCTTTAAACTTTAATTGCTTGTTATTCTCTTAAAAGTTTTTTTTCCTTGTGCATATATACTTAAACTTTATTTTTTACCTTGTGAAATGTCTTAAACTTCTAAAATAAAAATTAACTTTCCTAGGTAATGCTTTGTTGTTTTTTTTTCAGTATATTTTTGTAGTGCTTTTTGCACTTAAAGCAATGCGTACCTTAAGGTGTTTAAATAAAATGTCGTACATATTGTTAATACTGTAGCCATAAACCTCAGTCTTTGGTAAAGGAGTCTCTTGGGAACCGTAATGTTGATGCTGAGCTATGCCAGGCATCTTTTCCCTGTATTTTTCTCAGCTGTTACTTAACTAGTTATATATTAAGTATACTCTAAGGAAGCCTCACTCTTTATATAGTTAGCTCTTTTGTTATTAGCTTTAGTGAACCTTTTTATTTCTTTAGTTCTCATCTCAAGAGATGTCAAGTTTCTGCAGATTTTGGGGGGGAGGATAAAGCACCTAGTTAATCCTCATGGAACCCCTTGTGGGTGATAATTTTAAAAACTTATACATAAAATGTTTAAATAATTTTTCTGAAGTGTGACTAAGAGCTTATGAATTAATTTTTTCAAGTTCTGTCTTGCATCACCTGTATCTTGATACCCCAATGCATTTTTTCCCCACTGCATTTTAAAATTACCGTCACTACTACACTGTCTCCATCATGAACAACTTTCCCATCCCTTTGGTTGAGAGAATGCATTTTCAGAAAAATTTCTGCTGGCTAACGTGACTGGCAAAAGAAAAAGACTTCTGTGAGCATGCTTATTTATTCATTTCATTCAATGAATATTTATTGGTGTCTTCTATGGGTTGGATACAGTCCCTGCCTTGAAAGTGTATTAGTCTTACTCTGTCTTCCCATTGGCCCTTCCTGCAG